ACTTTGATTTTAAGTATCTGCCTTTCACCTGATCTTAAACGATACTAACGTAAGGATAGAAAATGGCACTTGTTTCCTTATTTCCTTACACAAGAGATCCAATTCTGTTATGTAACTGTTATTTATCCTTCAAGTAACTAGTGAACAACTTTGAATAAATAAAGTTCAAACATTATGAGACATTCAAGGCCAAAATCAGGAACTGACACTTGATCCAACTTTTCCATGTTGATATTGGAGTATCGTATTGGTATCAGTATTGGTGCATCCCTACATTTTATTTTTACATGTAATTCCACGTTGCTGTAGAAAAGTTTCCACAGACAGGATACTTTAATGCAACTTTTTACATTTTCTCCATGGGCATACAGTATTTCCAAGTTTTCCGACTATGTTCCACAATAAGGATCTATCTTGCATTTATTCAGCTGCTGGAGTTTTTATTTCTCAAAAATCCATGCCTCTCCCTAGATGTGAGTTGCACCATGGCATCGTTGAGTCACCATGGAGATAGACAAGTTTAATGCCCTACTGTGAAAACATTCAAGACGTAACAAAACATATCCATGGCGTGTAAAGCAGGTGGTTTACCCTCTACCAGAAATATTACATAGTCCACCTTTAACTCTTCTGCAGTCAAGGGCGTAGCTTTGAAGAAGGACGGTGGGGACATGTCACAACAACCAATATTTGGGGAAGACAAAATAGTCCCTACCAATATTTGCCATTTTATTTTAATACACAAAAATATAAATTTATGCAGATATTTTTCCAAACTCAATCATATTAATTTAACACGTTTTAGTTCACATTTTGTTTAATAGAAGTTCTGAGATGTATTCAGTGACATGACGACAGGGTTACCCAATTAGTGATGTCATTAGTGGAGCCAGGAGCCTAAACTTGGGAAGCGGCGGGACAGGGCCAGGACCTGAAGATGGCGACTTGAGCAGACGTGAGTGAAGACACTGCACTAAAAACACTAAAAAACTTTTCAAAACGAACTTACTTGGCTTCATCTTCAGTTAAACTTGTCTTATAATGAGTCGCATCAGAAAAAGAGCGACTATCACCACAAGTGCACCTCCCAAACAGAGCCCTACTCGTGACAATATTCTATGGAAAAATGTCTGGACATTTCCTCACAGATATCTCATCACCAAGCCTGATTCATCTGCCGGTTTTACTTTGTTTCACTTTGTCCAAACCGTCTGACCTCGCAGCCTTAGATTTTGTTTGCTCAACTGTAGGCGGGTACTTTTTTTAATTTAACAAATCACTGCTATTTGGTCGTGATGTATGTAATGCGCCGCTAACGGGGCTAAGTGGTATATTAAGCTTTTCCCAAATCCCGTAGGAAGAAGGACAATAACGTCTTTCCCCTTGATGAAATTCAACAAACATTCTCTTTATTCCGGCTTTAAATCCTCGATCTCGGGAATCGTTGACAACACTGAATATATGACTCTTCGCTGATTGGCTGGTGCCCAAACTTGCACTTCTGGGGTTTTTGTGAACTGTCTAGTGTATTTTGATTCATGACCTAGTCGCTGGAGAGAAATGAAATTGAGCGGAGGCACTAGGGCTGCGTTCAGACTGCAGCCTGAAGTGACCCAAATCTGATTTTTTGGCCCCTATGTGACCTGTATCTGACCTTTTAATGACAGATCAGATTTTTTCAAATGCGACCCAGGCCACTTTGATATGTGCTCCTGAAACCGATACATATCCGATCTATTGACATGCGACTTCAGTCTGAACGGTCAAAGCGCATTCATCCACCTACACGTTATCAACAAGCCACAAACGTCACTATTCTGCGCTGAAGTAGGTGAAAATTGTTAATGAACTCTGTGTCACTGAAGTGAAGCACATCACCACTCACCACTCTTGGCTACGTCTTCCACATCCACACGTTCCTTTCAACGGACGTCGCTGCCGCTGCCCCACAAAACGCCACGGCCAAAAACCTCGTCCTTCTCCTTCTCAATCTCCTCCTTAAAACAAGTAAGTTGTTCATGTTCTGGCTCCGGTACGAGAGGAACTTTAAAATCTCCAGGTGCTCAATGCTCGCCTCCATGTTTGGACAACTTCTGTAAACACAGAGCACACTCGCTGCGGTTGACGTCATCGTGTCTCCATTGCACATGCGGGACACTTTAGGGCCATTTATTGTTCACACTGGAGATCACATACAAGTCGCATTTAATTGGAAATGTGAACGACCTCGCAAAAACATCGGATTTCACAAAAAAATCTGAATTGAGCATTAAACCCTGCAGTCTGAACGTAGCCTATGTGACGCCAGCCTGGCTTCTCATCACCATCAAGCAAAGGGAAATCAGCTACAAACTTCTACATCGCTGTGATCCGCTAAAGAATCATCTTAGAAGGACAATGGACACGAACTGTACATTTTGCAAACTGAAAAATGAAACCACCGCTCACTTATTTTGTACCTGCCCAGACTCTGTGTGCTTTTGGAAAGAAGAGTACAACACTGTGGAATCTGGAATTTCTAATGTTGAAGATGAGGAAAGTTCAAGTCAAAACAAATGTAAACAAAAACTTGACTGAACACTGTTGTAAATGATTAAATTCACACATACAGTGCTCACATATTCACATAACGGTACTTGAGGTTTCAGGCTTGACCTTGGTGAGGAGGAAGCGGTTGGATCTGAAAGAGTGTGAAGCCCAAACAGCAGGAAACACAGATCCTGCATGACAGAAGGACGTTTGAATGAATGACAGCTCTTCACTCACTGCAACAAAACAAAACACCATAATGAGACAGACTGTCATTGAGAAATTAGCATGAAGTAAGAAAACACGAGAACTTCTACAGTTCAAAATAATAATAATAACGGTAATGTAGTGAATAAGCAGTGTGGAAATCAAAATTCACAACTTTGCTATTAGAATATTCTGAATTTCCAAGTTTAGCAGAGTTCGTCGGAGTTTGTCTGCTACATTTAAAAACTTTTTTTTGTTTTTTTTTTTGTTTTAGAAACAAGTGAAACCAAGATGACCGCCCAAGTCTGAAAAACTAAAATAATTGCATTGACCAGAGAGATTTTCTTTAAGGAACACTATCCTTTTAGGTTTAAGAATAAGGAAATGTTAATGGTGTTTTCATAGCAATAAACAATTCTAAACAAAATAGTATATCGTTTGAATGGGCAAAAGTCCTCAAAATGGCTCCGAATAACAGAATGCTGAAACCATTAATAGAGTCATGATTTACACTTAATTCGGTCCAGGTTCTGTTCCATGGAGATAAAGAGGAGTGTAGTAAATGTGGTGCATGGGGGTACATCGTCCACCCAACGTGAAATTAACAAAAAAAACAAAAAAAACAAAAAAAACAAATATAAGATAGCTACAACTTAAATGTCAAACCGGCGCTATTGGCAACAGTGAAAACAACCTGCATAGACTCATGATATCTGCACTACTGTCCTATAGTGACCTGAGACATGAGGGACCAGGACTAAACCAGGTCTAAACCAGGTCTAAACCAGGACTGGGTGTGTGGACGGGCTCAGAGGTGCGCCCATGTAGACTGTAGGGTGACTGCGGGCGAAAGGACCCGTGCAGCCGTTGCCCGATCACGCTTTGTGGACACCCTGCTCCATGGGCTTGGGGTTCTTCCTCTCGCTCTGAAGTCCAAGATTAGTCCTGGTTTAGTCCTGGTTTACAGTGGCGTAGTTGGCAGTTTGCGGGCCCTGAGCGAACTTGGGTTGGGGGTCCTCACTATAACGCACAGTTTTTTGTTTTGTTTTGTTTTATAATGTATTTATGTCTATTTTGCCTCCATGTTCTTGAGACATGCACATCTTTATTTATTTGAATTATGGTGGATTGGAAACTTGTCTCATTAGTTCAGTCGCACACTAGAAAACCAAAGCTGAAAGTAGTTTTATTGTTTTGCTAGTACAATTACATTTTTGTTTACGTCCATTACGATGATTATGATTATTATTTTTCTTATGATTATTGTGCAAAAGTAAACTATTCTCATTTAATGTCATATTGAGAGAAAATCAAATTGCGCTGATTCCTCAACCATTAGTGGAACTGAGGGCATTTGGTTGGGGGCCCTTCCATTTTTGGGGGCCCTAGGCAGCCGCCTGATTTTCCCTAATGGTAGCACCGCCTCTGCTGGTTTAGTCCTGGTTTAATCCTGGTTCAGTCTTGGTTCATGTGTTGTAGTCTATGATTTATGTTTTGTAGGTGATTATGAACGGTGTTAAAGTTAATAACCTGATTCCACATCATTTTGAGTAAAAAAAAACATCAAATATTACAGATTTTGACTGGACTGGCACCTTTATGTTTGTACTGAAAGAGATTTTTTTTTTCTTTTTTTTTTTTTTAAATAAACAATCTATATGACAGCTGTGTACATTTTGGCACATTAAATTGAATATTTGGCTTTTGGGGTGGAGGTGGATGACGTCACGAATCGCTTACACCCACTTGAAAAATCCCCATTACCCCACTGAAATAATCAGTTTAATGCTACACTGTGAAACATTTTGGCCAAAGAAATAACATCTCCATGGACACAAGAAGACAAGAGCGCACTTTTAAATGTTAAAAACCCTGTACCTCTTTTTTCTTCCTTGTATTTGAACAAAATTGTATAAGCAGCTATTGGGGTCAGAATAAGTTGCTGCTGTGTACAGTCTGCATCTAATTAATAAGTGTTTTATTATCCGAGACGCAGGAAGTGCACAGTTAGCCTGGTAGTTGATGTATGTTGATGGCAAAAACTCCGCTCTGGCCTCTCAAAAAGTTGTAAAAAGCTCTCAAAAACTCATCACGGTGACTTATTAAGATGCTTTGAATGCAAAAGGTAAATGAGGAACAACTTTGGACCTCTGCAAAAAGTTCAGCTCTGTTTTTTTTTTTTTTTTTTTTCATGTTTTTAAGACAGTAAAACTCAGCTACAGCCCCTTTAACCCGTCTCTCTGTGCTTGCTTCGTGGTGTTCAGGTGATCCAGACGGTGACGGCGGTGGATAAGGACGACTTTGCCAACGGACAGAGGTTTTCCTTCGCTCTTCCAGAACATTCCGCCGCTAATCCCAACTTCACCCTCAAGGACAACCAAGGTAATTAAAGTGATCGATAGCTTTTGTTTCCTTTTCTTATGAATTCTGCGCACAGCCTTTGGGCATTAGCTCCGCTCTCTCTCCCTCTGTAAACCCGCTCTCGTTCTTCCCCTTTTTTTTTTCTTCTCTCTTTCTCTTGTTTGTCTAAATTCTTGCTCATTTCTCTCTGTCTTTACTCTATGTCTACTTCTCTCTCTTCATTTCTCTCTCCCTCATCTACATTCCTCTCTCTCTCTTCCTCTAACTCCCCCTTTCTGTTTCCCCACTCTTTTTTTTCTATCTATTCTTTTTTTCCCGACTGTCTTCTTCCCTCACTGTCCCACCCTCTTTCCTTTCTCTCCGTTTCTCTCCCTTCCCCTATTTTTGACACTCGCCTTCCTGTCTCCTCTTCTGTTTTCTCTCTCTTCCCTCCCTCTTTCTTTTCCTCCATCTCTCTCCTTCCTTCTCTTTCTCTTTCTCTCTTCTTCTGTTTGCTCTCGCGATTCCTCTAACTCCTCTCTAATTCTCGACTTTCTCTCTTTCATTCTTCATTCACCTTCTCCCTCTCTCTTTCTCTTCTCTTCCAATTGCTCTCTCTTTCTCTAATTCCCACTCTCTCTTCTTCGCTCTCTCACTCTGTAATTTTCTCCTCCTTTCTCTCTTTCTCTTTCCCTCACTTCTGTCTTTCTTGTCGCTCCCATCTCTATCTAATTTTATTGGCCATATTTACATGATGTTTTTTTCATTCTGAATTAATTATTCTGAGTTAAATAGTTCGGAAGTAAAATATTCTCCTTCAAATGAATTGAAGTTTACATGGAAAACACGTTAAATCGTCTTTATTTAATTCCGCTCAATGTTTGGGGGTGGGGAAGGGTTCTGATTGGACAGAGACATTTACGTCGACCGAAAGAAAACGCACACTTCAGCCGCTACCGGCTTTTCTGTCATCTCGGTTTGTCGTTATGCCACAGACACAAACACGATCCAAACTTTCTTCACAGTCATTTGGATGATAATGGAATGTAAAATTATCTGCCAGTGGAATAAGACTTTTTGTACTTAAAATATGAAAATACATCTTGCACTTAAAATAAGAAAAACAAGTTCAGTGTGGCTTGAATTATGAAAAACACACACAATCTGTGTATCATTTGTTCATTAGTTTTTCAATGTAAAACCAAAAACAAGAAAACAAACAAACAACCATTTTCTTCATTATTTGTCTCTAAAACCAAAATAAATAAAAAAACTGATAACGATTTGTTTTGTTTTTTTATTTTTCGATTTTGTGTTTAAATGAAGAATGGAACAAACGGATGGCTACCGTTTCCGTGACTTAAACTGCAATGCCGAACTTTTGCGGCACGTACGGACTAAACTAGGGCTGAACCAGGTCCGGGACCAGACCGGAACCAAACCGGGACTTTAGACCGGGTTTGAGACCTGGAACAGAACTGAGACTGGGACTGAGGCAGGGACTGAAGCCGGGATCAGACCAGGACTGAGACTGGGACTGAAAACAGTTTAGTCCTGGCTTAGTCCTGTTTTAGTCCTGTTTTAGTCCTGATTCAGTCCGGGTCTCAGTCCTGGTCTCAGTCCTGGTTCAGTCCTTATACGGCGCAAAAGTCAGAGATCGCAGTTTAAGTCACTGAAACGGGAAACGGTCGTTATCCGTTTTTTCCATTCTTCATTTAAACACAAAATCTAAAAATGTAACAAATCATTTTTTCCTTTTTTTTTTTTTTTTTCATTTTGGTTTTAGAGACAAATAATGAAGACAATAGTTGTTTTTTTTCATTTTCTTATTTTTGGTTTTAGTTTGAAAAACGAATGAACGAATGATACACGGATTTTATTCCACTGTCAAGTTGAATCGACTCAAAAATCGAGTCAAATGTTCTTAATTTAAGTCATTTCAACATACCTAGATATTGTTTTGTTTTCTTTTTTCCAGTGCACTCTCTTTCTCCTCTGCTTCATCCCTCCCTCCTCTTTTTCTCTCTTCTCTCTCAGCTGTAATACGTTTGTGTGTGTAAACAGCAGTCTATAGTGTAGTCTTAGGACTTATCTGTGATTGGTGCATATATTACCATTGACCTTTTCATGCACAAACAAGACTTTATTGCTTTCAAGGATGCTTATGTTTTTGTTTACGCGCACTTGTTTTTAATGCGCCAGCGCTGAGTTTGAATGGCATTTAGAGGAAGCCATAGATATTACGTTTGGTGAGCATAGACAGCCAAATGCAATTCAATTTTCAAGTTGTTATTAAAAAACTGGCGGGCACTAGAATGAGCGAACTAAGATAAACCGAGTGTGTGTTTATTTGCCTGTAGTGCGGATAGTTGCCTGACCAGCCGGAACCGCGCGCTTTGACGAAACTTCACAAAGGTCGCGTCTCGTTTCTCGTTCCTCGCTTCCTTCTCCTCGATCCTCCATTTTTCAGCTGTCAATCAAATGTGTCATATTAAGTGGTCTCTAAAAGAAAACCACGGGAGGAAAGAGTAAACATGAGGGAGGTTTCTGGACGCAGACATCGGAGAAAAGAGCCAAACAACCTCCTCTGTGGGCAGGACTTTCTCACCCATTTCCTGCAGATTTAAAGAGAGAAATGAGATGCAGCCCAAGACGAGTGAATCTGGAGCTGTGTCCTGTCCCCCAAGATTTCAGAGGGAGTGATTGACAGGCAGATTAACCAATCAGAGAGACACATGTGCTGTTTGTATCAAAAATAAACAAAGGGAAAAACATAAAGCACTGAGTAAGAGCCTGGGTTTTTGCAGAATCAAAAAATCAAAGCGTCAAATTTTTATTTATCTCAGCTAAAAGAGGTTAAATATTTTGTTTTGAATGAGACGAGAAGGCGAGATGTTTCAAGTTTGGACAGTTTTCACGCTCTATTGTCCAGTTTCAGTCACTGAACCAGGACTGAACCATTACTAAACCGCTTTCAGTCATGGTCTGGTCTCATTCTCAGTCCCGGTCTAGTCCTGGTCTGGTCCCGGTCTGGTCCTCGTCTGGTCCCGGCCTCAGTCCTGGTCTCAGTCCAGGTCTGGTCCTGGTCTCAGTCCTGGTCTCAGTCCCGGTCTGGTCCTGGTCTGGTCCCGGTCTCAGTCCTTGTCTGAGTCCCGGTTTCAGTCCCAATCTCAGTCCCGGTTTCAGTCCCAGTCTTAGTCCTGGTCCTGGTCCCAGTCTCAGTCCTGGTCTGGTACCAGTCTCAGTCCTGGTCCTGGTCCCGAACTCAGTCCTGGTCTCAGCCCCACTCTGGTTCCACTCTGGCTCCAGACTTGGCTTGGTTTGGTCCTGTTTTAGTCCTGGTTCAGTCCTGGTTCAGTCCGGCATTGCAATTTTATTCACGGAAACAGGAAATGGTCGTTATCCTTCCTTCCCCCCATTATTCATTTAAACACAAAATTGAAAACTGAAAAAAAAAAAAAAAAATTGTTATACATTTTATTTTATTTATTTTTTTTGGTTCTGGAACAAATAATGAAGAAAATACTTTTTTTTTTTTTTTTTTTTTTTTTTTCCCGTTTCCTTATGAATGAACGAATGATACATGGATTGATTCGCCGTATAGTTTCCTTTGCTTTGTTTCGGGTCTGAAGATGGACTTGTACCTGGACCACCGACGGATCACACACACACACACAGTTATTGGAATTTTAAAACAAAAAATAAAGTATATATCAAGGCTTTCATTTTTGTCGACCACAAGCCCTCAAATCCCCCGCGGTACACACAGTAGTGGCAGCAGAGGGCATGGAAGAAAAGTCTATGTGGAGATGTGCAAATGTCTTCAGCCATTTCGTGCCCTGTTAGCCGCTCCATCATTACCTTCTCTAGGGGAAATATCCCACTGTAATGACCCACTAGTGCCCCAGACGCTTGGCATGTTTGCTTCTAGTATTTTCAATTGGATTATAACCACTTGGCTCTCTGTCTTCTCTCTTCCTTCCCCGAGTGCCTCTATTCACGCCAAGGCTGGACCGGCGCACGGCGTTTGTTTCCATAGCGACGCCATTATGCTCTCAGGTGAATAACCCGGGGCCTATTTCGGTCCGGACCTCGCGGTTTTTTGAGAGAGGAGAGAGGAGTCGGAACATAAACTCGGACACAAAAACAGGAGGAGGGGGAAGAGGAGGGAGCGGGAAATCAATGTCATAACAGAAAGAAGCGGAGGAAGTTCAAATGGAGGTCTGGGGCTTTTATAAGGCAGAGCTTTCGAGTTTTCGGCGGGCAGTAATGGAGACTGGGTCAGAAAAGTGATATGAACAGGAGAATAGACTGGAAAGTGTAGTGTTGGCAAAGGGATACATATACAGTGTACAAGTGAGCTCTAATGGTATTGGGGCTTTGTTGTTGTTGTTCCTGGGGAGGATTTTTTGGGCAAGTCCTTATTTTATGGAAGCCGAGAGGGGTCACGACAAATGCAAACGCCGCAACAAATACAAACGCCACAACACAATCGCAAATGCCGCAACACATCAAAAAGCCACAACGGAGGTCACCGCGGGACTCTATTTTTTCGATGGACCGATCAAGCGGCAAGTGAAGAAGAAGAACTACAACGTGAAATGAATAATGATAAAACAATAAATTACTTTTACTTACGTTTCCAACTTCTCCGTTCCTTTACTTTTCACGTTGTAGTTCTTCTTCTTCACTTGCCGCTTGATCGGTACGTTGGAAAATAGAGTCCCGCGGTCACTTCCGTTGTGGCTTTTTGATGTGTTGTGGCTTTTTAATGTGTTGCGGTATTTGCGTTTGTGTTGTGGCGTTTGTATTTGTTGCGGCGTTTGCGTTTGTTGTGACCCCTCTCTGCTTCCGTATTATTTAGACTGACCTATCCGGCCAAAACCACACAGTTTCGGTAATTAGTTTTATTTTATTTGAGCAATTTGTTTCACAGAGTAACACAAAGAAAACATATTTAAATAAAATACTATAAAAAGAGAGTAGAAAGAAATGAAATCTCGTAATGTACTGTAAATGTGGCGAGCTAGCCAGGAGCTTTA